GGCCGACTAATTCTTCACCGTCATCAGCTCAATTTCGAAATACTTCTGAATATCAAATGGAAAAATATCATACGTGTGACAAAAAAGACCAACACTCATCAGATGCTGAACCATCTACTTCAAGCTAATGTGAGTTAATAACTACATGCTTGAAAATTTTATCTCCTGATCCTGGTACGTATTGTGATGAAATTTTAACAGAAGAATTACGCGATATTTGGATTTGAAAAGGGCCATTATTTTTCCAAAATAAAAATGGTGACTTCTCCGAAATTTCTGCAAGTTTTCCCGATTCAAGTGGTATATGTAAAGAAAAAACTAGATATTAAAATATAAATATTTTACCCATAAATTGATGAATGGTCAGTCTTTAGAAAGAAAATGGCTCCTTTATTCACCGTCGAAGAAATCAGTGGACTGCTATTAGATAGAAGAATTGTTGCAGCATTGAAATTTTTAGCTTCTAGAGATCTTCCTTTTCGTGGTGCTAGTAAGATATTGGGGTTTCAAAATAACGAGGATTATTTGGGATGCCTATAATTGATAAGTGAATTTGATCCTTTTCTTGCTGAACATGTACGAAACTGCAGAAATCGTGGACAAGGAAGAACCTACATCATATTTGTCTGCAAATATTTGGAATGAGATTATTAATTTAATGGGACAGCAAGTTTTTAAAACAATTGTCAACTAACCTTCATCGTTAGATACATAAAAGATGGAGAGCCTATTGAGAGATTTTTGCAGTTTTTTCCTATGGATAAACATTGTGCACAATGTATGGCAGATATCATTTTAAACTTTTTTGAAAGCCATGATAATTTTTCCCGAAGCTTTGTCCTTAATTGCAAGTGACATCAATCTACCAAGAGAAACAAGAAACGAAGTCCAAAGCCTAGCAAAAGAAATGGAGAAATTGAATACTATACTTTTTACGGAGATATGGAATGATTTTTTGGGAATTATGAACAAAACCAGCTTCATCATCATCATCATCATTACAGCCTTTTATAAGTCCACTGCTGAACATAGGCCTTCCCCAAGGAATGCCACAAAGCACGCTATATATATAATCTTTATAAGCCCGCACGCTTTTATGTTGACTCAGCTATATTACTCAAATCGTTTAAGGATTCAATTCATAATTTATATACTCTACCCCCTAATACAAAAAATCAAGTCACTATTAATTAGCAACTGCCGAAGTGAGAGATAGTTGTTCGTGTTACTTAAGTCTAAGATTAATTTTGCTAGTTTTACATACTATGAATATTACGTATTATCAATGATCTCAAACTGTAGGATAATTTTTCGTTGGTTTTATATGAATGTATGTTGTATGAAGAGATATGTTATTTTAGGTAAATTAAACAAATATTCATCATCATTATCATCATTACAACACGTATAATATTATTTATAAATATTATATGTGGTGCTTTTGTACGAAGTGTAAATGTGTATGTATTTGTCTTTGTAATATAGTCATGCAGCGAAACATTAATCTGTTTCTGGAAATAGATAAATGTTCCGCTATATATATATATACAACGTGTCCCAAAATTCAACGATAAGCCAACACCGGAGGATAGACCTGCCCCGGACTAATCGGGTAAAAAAAGAAAAAAAAATATATCCCAATTATATTTTAAGTTATATAAAAAAAATGAAATTCTTCAGAAATTGAGACCGTTTATGATATTTTTCACTACCATGACCACAATTTTTTAAATATTTTTTTCTTTTTTTTTATAGGCAACCTGAATAGTACTGCTATCTACCACAATTCTTAAAAACTCCAGAATAACTCTTGTTTTATCTTATTTATATATATATATATATATATATATATATATATAACGAGGTTTTGGCGAGAACTTGACCGGCGGCGGCTTGCTACGCCGGTATTATTGTTTAAATAATGGTGATGTGATCTTCAAGATAAGGTGTCTGTCTGCTTAGGCGCCTTGAGATACCATCGCCAATTGTCAGCTGTCTGCTGGCTTAAGTTGCCGTCAAAATCTCCCAAGGGCTGCACAATGTGACGCATCAACGTATTGTGTAGCAGTGTACTATGAAGGATAATTATAAATTGTAACTTCAAGCTCAGAAGGGCTAGAACCCAGAGCCGTAAAGCCAGTTATTAAAAAAATATGGATAATTCACACGCGCATGCGCTGCAAATTCCAACTTACATATTTGTGTGACATATATTGCCCCTGACCATAGATTACTGTACATATACTAGAGATATATGCGCAACTCAAATTTCATTTTCGTTATTACGCAGTGCTTTGCCTAACAGATGGCGCTTAATTCTTACTAAAGAAGAAACTTGGGAAAATAACACATCTGGACTCGAACCGGGGTCTTTTGATTTCGGGACCGCCCGATTTCCCACCTGACCTATTATAACCTTGTACGTAGTGCCGAAATTCACCTTTGTATTCTAATGATATTTTAGCAGTTTTTCATTGCCTGAAAACACAGATAAAACGGCATTCTAAAAATAAATCCTAGCTAAATCGATTTATCACCCCCAAAACTCCCTGCACACTAACATTCTTACCTAATTGGTCACATTTAAAAACACATTACTTTCGCGACATTAAAAAAAAAAAACAAAACAGCACGGCAGAAATATTAGTTATTATGTAAGCAAAATTAATTATTATGAAAGAAAACACACCAGTGACCGCTACTAACTGCTAACTGCGTAGTGCGCATGGATTATTGCGTATGCATAGACTTAATATATAAGTGTGCCCTCTAGTGAGATTAAAATAAGTCTAGCCTAGCGCTTCGGAATGTGGATGGAAGCACATAAAACGTATCATTTTTTACCTATATTCTAAGTATCGTTGCATGCCCATGCCCCTGACGTTCATCAAATGCCATCAGATCTCGGTTTTATTAGAAAAAGTTAACAGTATTATCGAGCTTTCTCCAAATGATAATTTTGTAGTATTAAGAGATTTTAACTTGCCATTCATTTCTTAGAACCCGAACGGATACACAGTTTTGAAAAAAGGGTCTATTGAGGTACAAGAAGCGAGCATCCATCTGATGGAAGCACTTACATTTCACGAGTTAAGACAATTTAACACGTTCCCTGTCCGGTTTTCAAACACAATAGTAAGACAATAGCAATGACCTATATATAGTGCACGGGACAGCGAAAGGAACTTTAAAAAATCATGCTGGTAGCATATCTTTCTTGTTGACTCAAATGACATCGAAAGTCATAAAAAATCATTGCACGAAAATTTTCTCGCGTTAAATTCATGCTGACGTGACACAGACAATTTTCAATTTGCCGCCAAATCATAAACAAATGACAAATTAATAAAATACATACACAATAATATTGGAAAAGAGTTCTATTTTCAAAATTTGTTCTTATTTTTTTATTATATCGTTTACATGTGGCCAGTTCTAAAAACTTTCAGTGACTCCCTCGTACCTACCATCAAGCAATATAAGGAAACCTGTTATTGGCCATACTTTTAGTTAGTTACATTAATGTTAATAATTACTATATACGCGATTTTCTACATAAATCAAAATAAAATAAAATGATGGTGACGTTATCGCTTCAGATAGTCGCGGCTAGTGACGGGTCAACTCGAGTTAACTCGAGTTGGATCTCCCTAACTCGAGTTTGGGCTGCCGTACAAAGAACGCATCAAGTGGGCTAGCATGAGAGTAAGAGTGCGATTCGTTCGTTGTGTGCGCGCTTTGCGTTTCAAAGAGTATTTAGCTACCTACAACCAAAACAATTTGTCATTAAGAAATTTATAATAGCTAAGTTATGTAATTTAATTTCTGTTATAATTTTGATTAATTATCATCATTATAGTTACGTAAGTAATAGACTTATTGTTGTAATACAAGAAAGGGTGGTTAAGTTGTAAGATACATCATATTTTAAATTAACGCTAAATGTTAACTCACTTAACTTATAATAAATATTTTGAAATTGAAAAAGATTTAATTTATTTATTAAAATTTTAACAGTGATAATTAATCTGTTGATAGCTTGTGTACCCACATACTTAAAGCTAGACTATTGTTTCGTGAAGACTATATAGCTAGTTTAGTTGTTAAATACAGGTACTTACTTTAACTAATATTAAAACCAAAAGTACATAAGTATGTGATACATACTAAATATACATTTTTATTTCAATCCTAAAATATAAATCTATATATTCAATCCTACAATACAATATAATATATTAATAAGTTTGGTAATTATAGTTATCCCAAACCACCAAAGAGCTAGATATTAAAACAAATTTCTAAAAAAGTAATTTGTAACATATCATTTACTCTGTTTCGTACTGCTAACTCTCTCTCTTCTCTCTCTCTCTTTTTTTTCTCTTTTTTTTTCTTAAAAAACGTTACCCCCACACTAGGATTTTCTCCTGTGTCGTGGAGGCAGTTTACAAACATAAATTGCACAAGGACAAACATCCAGACCCGGAACAATTATTTGTAGGCCATACAAATACTTGTTCCGTGCGGGATTCGAACCCGCGTTGAGTAACTCGAGTTTAAGCTCAAGTTGCTAAACTCGAGTTCCAAATTGGTACATCTATAGTCGTTGCGCCATGGCACCATGACAAAGAGACTTGCCTACTTAATTAGAAAGACATATAGAAGAACAATAGTTTAAACACGATTGTATCAATAAACCACGTTTTGTTAACTGTAATAAGTTATTACCAATAAGACTGTCTGAGTTAGAGAAATTTGATTAAGGGATTATGTTCTAATATATTTGAAAAACAACAGTTTGCTAAAATCACAACAGATAAAATAGGTGAAATTCCCTAATAAATAGTTAACTTTATAAAGTTAAATATGCAAGCAGTCAGCAAAATACCCTCCGCAGCCAAAACATCGTCGGCGGCAGAGCCAAATACTCACTTGGGAACAAAACAGCTGGTGTAGGTGGTGAGTTTTCAGAGGTACCGCCAAAATAATACACAGTTTTTAAAACAAATTTATCTTTATTTAAATAATCGAATAACGAAGATTAATTATATGATTCAAGGTGTTTGATTAATTCTTGCAGATTTGTGTTGATTAAATTGATTCCGTTTTGTAAAGCTGAGCGAATGTTCCACTCGACATACTTGATAATAACCGTGTCAAATATTTTTGTAAATACATTTATGACTGGATTAATCAACCAATCGGTAAGCACGTTGCCGGTAAGCTTTGCACGCAGTCGTCTGTAAAAAAGTTGTTAACATACATAACCGCAAGATTTTATTGGAATACGTATCATCATCATCATCACCATTACAGCCCTTTACAAGTCCACTGTACTGAACATAGGCCTCCCCCAAGGAATGCCATGAAGCACGGCCTGAGCCACCTGCATCCATCAACTTCCTGCATATCTTACCAGGTCGTCACTCCATCTAGTGGGGGGTCTCCTTGCATTTCACCTACCGGTACGAGGCTGCTACTCGAGAACCTTTCTTCCCCATCGGTTGCTGGTTCTTCGAGCCATATAATCCATTGGGCTATGTCGGTCACTCTGGTTCTACTGCAGATATCCTCATTTCTAGGTTTATCACGCAGAGAAACCCTGAGAATAGCCCTCTCCATGGCTCGCTGAGCGATCTTGAGCTTCCTCATACGGCCAGCAATGAAAGACCACGTCTCAGTTCCACAAGTCATTACTGGCAACACGCACTGGTTGTACAGTCTCGTTTTCAAGTTTTGAGGTATACCTGACGAGAAGATGTATCGTAATTTCTCGAACGCTGCCCAACCGAGTTGAATCCGTCGATTGCCCTCTCGGTCGAAGTTGGACTTATTTGGACTATTTGTCCCAGGTAAACATACAAACAGCCTCGAGATTAGTGCTCCCAACAACTACCGGCATAGGTGTGACATGGACGTTTTACATGATCTTTGTTTTGTCCATGTTCATCTTAAGAGGGAGGGACTATTGAGGTCATTGAGCATAGTGCTTAGGTTCTCTAGCGATTCTGCCATAAGGACTATATCGTCGGCAAATCGAAGGTGAGTGATGTACTCGCCGTTGATGTTAATACCGTATCCTTTCCAGTCCAGAAGCTTGAAAACGTCTTCTAATGCAGTGAAGAGTTTCGGGGATATAACGTCACCCTGTCTTACACCTCTCTGCAGTTGGATAGGTCTCGACCTCTGGTTTTGTACTCGGATAGCCTTTGTAGTCCTACTGTACAAACACTTCAGCACTTCTATATACCGACAGTCAACTTGGCACCGCTGAAGGGACTGCAACACCACCCTAATTTCGACGGAATCAAAGTCTTTCTCATAGTAGAATACGCAAGATATAGGGGTAAATTGTACTCCTCGTTTTTTTGTTAATTTGCCGATTTTTGTATGTGGTCTATAGTGCTAAAGCCTTTTCGGAAACCGGCTTATTCGGGGGGCTGGAAGTCATCGAGTCTGAGATTCGTAATGACTCTCGAAAACAGCACGTAGACGCGGCTCAGAAGGGAAATCGGTCTGTAGTTTTTAATTGATTGATTCAGCTTCTGAAAAACTTCAAGTTCCGGTTGTCCACCCTTTCAGCTTTCAGAAGATCCGCTGTAATTCCATCCTCGCCTGGGGTCTTGCCGTTTTTAAGGTGCTGGAGAGCCATTCTAATCTCGCTCAGACTGACTTCCGGAATATCATCGGAATAGTGTCGGATAAGATTGCTCTTGGATCGTCACTCACACCTGCGTGTGGCCCCAAAGATGATGTGTACAGCTGCCCATAGAACCTCTTAATCTCACTCAAAATCTTAGGTGTCCCGGAAATGATGCTGCCATACTCGGTCTTCAGCTTTGACAATTGGCTTTTCTGGAAAAGACTTTGGAACCATGGTAGCGCTCGATCGCTTCTTCAATAAGAGCAGTATTAAAGTTGCATAAGTCTCGCCGAATGCATTTGGAGATCTGTCTGTTCAGATACCTTTATGCTGTCAAATCTGCTGCAGCTTCATTTCCCGTCTAACAGCCATAAGAGTGTGATCGGATCGGACCGCATGAACAGTTTCCACGAGCTTGTCATTCATATCGTCCACTGCATTGCAATCATATAGGCACTGAAACGGTTTCGTATTTCGAGCTGAAAGGTTACGGGACCTTGGATTAGAGCACGAGGGGGACGGAGCGTTGACTTCATTAGACGTTACCTCTCCAACTTAACGTTTAGGTTCAGTGTGCCTCCCAACATTCGATGATCGCTGTCGGTTTTCACTGAGACATCACTGAACAGTTGTCGTCTGGGCGTCATAATGAAGTCAATCTCATTTTTCGCCGAACCGTCGGGGCTCGACCACGTTCACTTCCTGTGGGGCCGCTTCTAATAGAAAGAGTTCATCATAAAGAGTCCTTCTTTCTCCATGAAGTCGGCCAGCTGCTGGCCCCTTGGGTTCCGTTGCCCTATTCAAAATTTCTCTACCTTCAGCTCACCGTTCTCTCTTGTGCCTAGTTTTGCATTGAAGTCTCCTATTAACACCGTATTGGGTTTTCGAGTAATGCATAGCTCTAGATATATCCTCATAAATTGCCTCCACCTACTGGATGTGCCGAGGTTGGGGCGTAAACCTGTATGACCTTCAGCGAATACCGTTTGGTGATTCTGAGTATAAGGTAAGCAACCCTCATCGACACACTCTCAATCTTTACAACGTTGTTAACTAGAAACTTGTGAACGATAAATCCGACACCTCCTTGGGACAGATGGTCGCCCTCCCGGTGATAGAACAAGTTGCCGGATTCGAAGATTACCGTGTCCTCCCCCTCTGTTCGGATTTCGCATAATCCTATAATATTCCAGCGCAACTTGTCTATCTCTTTTTCCAGCTCTAGGATCTTCTCGTCAGTCTTCAGGGTGCCTGTGTATGTTGCCAGGTTGAATAACGTGCTGGCGGGAAAACAAAATGTGTTTTTTTTTAATCTAATGTAACCGTGATTTATACACTCACACGGCAGTAGAACTCATAAGAACTCACTTTTCTACCGACTTCAAAAAGATGGAGGTACTCAATTCGACTGTGTTTTTTTTTATGTGTGTGTTACCTCATAACTTTGTTCCACGTGAACCAATTTCGATGATTCTTTTTTTATTTGAAAGCTGGTGCTTCTCATGTGGTCCCATATAAATTGATTAAGGCCTGACCAATAGTTTTTGAGTTATCCTTAATAATATATATTAAAGTCGGTTGTACAAAATTTTTAATTTGAAATTATTTGCCTATACTGTCCAGCTGTTATACTTGCCTGTTAGGAAAATACTGGTCATAAGTTGAAGACAAAAATTAAACATTAAAGAAGTAAAAGTTGACTTCGTATACAGTATTTTATACGACATTTTTTCTTCGCACTAACTTTTTTGATCCAATACATTCATGCAGGAAAGATCTCCGGCACAATATGATCTTCTCGCTAAATTGATTTACCTTCGTAATACGTATACTTACCCAATGTCTGTCAATGAAAATTGCTGGAGATGTATTTCGTCGTTATTAAAATCAATGAGAACATCTGCTATTACAACAAAACGGTCCAAAGAAGCTGCGATGCCGCCTGTGGGACCCAAATTCATGACTTTTACGAGGTATTTATATTTAATCTGAAAAAAAATATTTATATATCATAAGAATTCATTATCAAGCTAAGTACAAGTTTTACAAGTAGTGTACTAAGTAATTATTAAAGGCTGGAAAAGTCTGTTTTAGGAAAACCCGGGTTTAATTTAATAACTTAAAAAACTGATCATAGAAATTGACCTTAGAGAATATATAATTTTGCTATACGTGTGTAATTGAGGTGGAGTAAGAGAAATATATTTTAACTCTTAGTTAACTATATGAAGAGATTGCCGTAGTACTATTATTTATTCTATGGTATTGCGAAAGAAGCAGGATTTATTATAATGTTCATGTTCATTGTGACTGTTCCTCTTACCTCGAAGGTGGGTTAAGCCCGGTAATGGATAGAAAAGCCTAACAATATATCTGGCTTACTAAGTCTATTTAATTCTTATGTGATGGCTTAAAAAGACATATTTACTGATTTTGGAGTAAGAGGAACATAATGACTAGTCAAATATTGGAAACATTAAATCAATCAAATACTCTAAATAGAATAACATCATAAAAATAAAATCTTACTAACAATAAAACATTTACAAAGCTTTTAGATTTTAACAAAAACTTTTTGTCAATTGAGTACAATCAATGCGATGCTACCTAAATCATAAAAAAGGCTTAATTAGCTCATTACAGAAATATAAATAAAACATGAAACTCAGTTCACGAACTGAATCTAAAAACTTCATTTGATTTCATCAATACATAAATAATTTGAGTAGGTATATTTTTGTTACTTGCAAACCTAACACCACTGTGAACATACCTCTAGGTCCGTGAATTGCAGTGCAACTCTTACGCGCAGCATCTTAGCATAGTAGTTGACTTTCTGGTCACCAGCGCGAGATAAATTGACTAGGCCCGTCATTCGGCCATCGAAGATCTTAAGCCACGCACTGTATGTGACTAGTAAAGGTTTCTGCATAAGAGAAATTTAAAGTTATGTAATTTGAAGACAATCTTAATGTTGATAAGGAAATCATTACGAAAAACACACAGTCATCTTTAACGGTTATGTTTAAGACGATGTGTTTAATGTTACATCTAGAATATAGGTATAAAGGAAAATTATGCAAAATACTTTTACACTATAATGAATAATTTATCATATTATTTCTTATCATCATACAATGATGCTAAGTAATAAGAATCAAGTCTTAAACAGAAATAATATTAATTATCAAATCGGAGTCATAGGAAGGAGTATTCTCCAGGCCTATATTTTCTAATCGAGATCAAATCCTAATTATTTTATTTCATAATGTGGTTTCAACGCTTTTATAACAATACTGCGGTAAGTATCTTAACTATACACATACAATTTTAATGTAAGTTACACTTCTTTAGCACCCTTTTTAATTGGTCTTCAAGAATGCGCCTGAAGACTAGAATAATTTTAAAATTTTGCTTATACTCGTACTTAACACGTTCATATAGAATTAGTATGAACATAACTAACGAAGGAGCTAATATTCTAGGATCGTATTCCTTTAAAAATATCCTATAAAAAATATATTTATGTTTATCTAGTTTAATTCCTTGTCATATTACCCTTTGTAATAATAAATTACAACTACGTATTCTATAATTTATTCTTGGACGCATAAATTACGCAAGAATAATGTATTTCTGTTATGTACTAACGACTTCAAATCCCTCGACAACTTCAGGTAACGGCATCGGGTCAAGGCCATTGTTTTGAATAAAGGGAACAAGCATGTTAACTGTTTTATCAACATATTCGTTTATATCTGCCGACAATCCATGACCCCATCTTAACCTGAAATTAATAATATTCACATAAGTAATAAAATATTAATATACTACAAATTAAATAAACACCTGTTTAATTATTAACTAGTTCGCAGTAAATTGATTTTGTCTTCCATGATATTTATCATTATCGTCGGCGAGGTTCGATAGTAACGGACCCAACACTGACCCTTGTGGAACCTCACGCTGAATCTACCATTTCCCCATATAGAAAATGAGCCTACCGCCCAAATAGTCCTCTATAACGTGCGCCTGATGGTGTGCCAATACCCTACTAATTGTGTCCCATATTAAGAAATTAAAGGTATTGACGATATCCAGATTTAACGCAATCGCTCTTATCGAATTCCAAACTGGTTACCAGCCAGATAAGAAACGATTAAACGGCGCACGACAGATACCCATTGAGGCGAGTGGCAATTATCCTTTTGAAGAGTTTGCCAATCTCGTCCAACAGGCAGGCATATGGGACGGTACACAGAGGGAGAATCTGCAGCTCTGCCTTTCTTTATCAAGAGGACCAACCTTGCCTCTTTACATGCCGCAGGGAACTTGGCATTGCGGAGCTTTTTTAATAAAGAACACTAGCAGTGCCCTTAAAATTACTAATATTCCTATTAACTACTCCAGTTAAGCTTACAATACTTGTGTTAGGAGAAGTTCACGACAGTAGTCAAAAGTCTAACAATGCCGGCAAATGACCGGCTCGAGGCGTGTCACTACTTACCGTCAGGTGGGATTGTAGTCAAGCACTGGCTTACGTAGTATGAAGGGGAAGGGGTTGCCACAAGTATTCTAGCTCTAGGCTCTATTTTGCCCCCCCCCTCCCCCTGAACGGGTCCCCGCCTTGTCGTGGCGGGGGGGCTTAGTAGCCGTGGCTTGGTCACCCGTGGTGAACAAAGAGGAACCCCTTGGCTGGCCCGTGGTATAGGGCAGGCCCGAGGTGGCCACTCCGAGTGGGCATGGCGAGCCCACTTCGGATGTGTGTCGGTGGGCTGCGGTGAGAGGGGTGTCCTCTCCCCCTACCGCTGCAGCTGAGGTGGAGTCGCGGAGGAAGAAGAGTGTTGGTACGGCGATGCGCCACTCACCCTATCCTCCGCGACTCTGACGGGGCCGCACCGTAGATTCGGTGGTGGTGGGGACGCGGGGGGAGAGGAGTGTCGGTATTACGAGGCGCCGCTCTCCCTACCCTCCGCGGTCGAAACTTGGTTGGCGGCGGAGCCAGAGACCAGATCCGCCGCTGGGGTCGGGAAAGCGGGTGCTACTAAGCGCTCGATTTTCCTGGCCCCATGGCCTCCGCGTATTGGACTCGGGGAGTTCCGATACGCAGGTGGAGTTGGAAGCCGTGGAGGGGGGCGTGCCTTGTGTTCCTGGTGCGAATTGCCTGAGAAGGAGAATGGGGAAGAGAGGTTTTCCCCTGAGAAGGGGCTGCCATGGGGCTGCCGTTTTAGTTGGTGCGAGTCCGACATAACCCGCCCTTGCCCCCGCGAGGCGGGTATGCGTAGGCATTTACCACTGAAAAAAAAAGGCGCTATTTTGACCATGTCTGACTCTGCAAATACATATATAGAAGCATAAATAACGAGAGGGCAAGATAACTAATACTATATGCGGCCGAGAATTTTTTAACCGTCCCTTTGTAAGTTACATTGAATTAAATGAATGTATCAGCCTATTAATCGGTCTGACCTTCACCAAAATGTGTTCATTGATTTAAAAAAAATAAACAACAGATAGCAAGATAAATAATATTAAAAAACAGATTGTTTAATTTCGAAGATTTTTTATGTTAATCTATATGAGTCATTCAGCATGATTTTGCGTCATCTATACGAGTACACTGCCTGGTTTATGGCGAAAATTTCAAAGTGTGTGTTAGCACAAAATTTCTTAAAGTATATCGCACCTAGAATTATTTCGATACGATACACAAACACGATACTAGCCAAGCATTACCATGATTATTTTATAACGCCATCCTACGGCATTTCCTTAAACTGAAAAAAATCCCTAGCTTTTTTTTTATACTTCGAGAATAAACAGAATTTGATGCCCGCCAGCATCAATGAAAGTGTGAGTGCAGGAAAAACCGTGAGAAAACTTGCATGTCCGATAAATTATAAAACTTCTTTGCCCTAAAACCCTCTCAGAAAGGAAAGAAGTCCTGTGCCAAGCAGTGGCATGTATATAGGATGTTACTTTTTAATAGTTATTCCTAAAATTATCGCAGCTAAGTAAAAAAATATCATAGGTTTTATTTAAAATCAATTATCTTACTATAATACGATCACAAACCTACTTACCCAGATAACTGAGTTTTAACAATATTAGCCTCGGCTACTACTAGCGAAAGAACTAAAACTATCGCAATATGTATTTTGTTCTTCATTTTTCGAGAAGTATCAAAGTAAACTACAACAATTGTTTTCTAGTCACTATATATGAAGCCTTGATTAAGTGATAATATTGGTAATATCGTTATCACAATCATTAATTATAGCAAGCTGATCTGATTACATTTTTGATGATATAGATCATAATTACCTACAATGATACCCTATTTTAATCCCTATTAAACTGATGCCGACTCTATAGCATCATGAAGTTTTGATAAACATATACAACAAAAACATTCCACACGGACAAAATAAAGCAAGTACCTAACGTGACTTACTTCTAAATATGTTTTGATTTTTATGTCAACAGCGGTATTTTTTTTAATTTTGTAGTAAAAAAAAATAATATCATCATCATCATTACAGCCTTTCATAAGTCCACTGCTGAACATAGGCCTCCCCCAAGGGATGCCACAAAGCACAGTCCTGAGCCACCTGCATCCATCGACTTCCTGCATGTCTTACCAGGTCCTCACTCCATCTCGTGGGGGGTCGCCCTACACTTCGCCTACCGGTACGAGGCTGCCACTCGAGAATCTTTCTTCCCCATCGGTTGTCGGTTCTTCGAGCTATATGGCCGGCCCACTGCCACTTCAGCTTATTAATCCGTTGGGCTATGTCGGTTACTCTGGTTCTACTGCGGATATCCTCATTTCTAAGTTTATCACGCAGAGAAACTCCGAGCATAGCCCTCTCCATAGCTCGCTGAGCGACCTTGAGCTTCCTCATACAGCCAGCAGTGAAGGACCACGTCTCAGTTCCGTAAGCCATCACTGGCAACACGCACTGGTTGTACAATTTCGTTTTGAGGTATGACTGACGAGAAGATGTGTCGTAGCTTCCCGAACGCTGCCCAGCCGAGTTGAATCCGTCGATTGACCTCTCGGTCGAAGTTGGACTTACCTAGTCGGACTATTTGTCCCAGGTAAACATACTCGTCAACAACTTCGAACTAAGTGCTCCCAACAACTACTGGCATAGGTGTGACATGGACATTAAACATAATCTTTGTTTTGTCCATGTTCATCTTAAGACCTATCCGTTGGGAGACACTATTGAGGTCATTGAGTATAGTGCTTAGGTCCTCCAGCGATTCTGCCATAAGAACTATATCGTCGGCAAATCGAAAGTGAGTGATATACTCGCCGTTGATGTCAATACCGTATCCTTTCCAGTCCAGAAGCTTGAAAACGTCTTCCAATGCAGCGGTGAAGAGTTTCGGGGATATAACATCACCCTGTCTTACACCTCTCTGCAATTGGATAGGTTTCGTACTCTGGTTCTGTACTTGGATAGCCATCGTAGCTCTACTGTACAAACACTTCAGCACTTCGATATACCGACAGTCAACTTGGCACCGCTGAAGGGACTGCAGCACCGCCCAAATTTCGACGGAATCAAAGGCTTTCTCATAGTCCACATACGCCAGACATAGTGGCAAATTGTACTCTTCGGACTTCTGTACAATTTGCCGAAGGGTATGTATGTGGTCTATGGTGCTAAAGCCCTTTCGGAAACCGGCTTGTTCGGGAGGCTGGAAGTCGTCAAGTCTGCGCGCGAGACGATTCGTAATGACTATCGAAAACAGCACGTAGACGCGGCTCAGAAGGGAAATCGGTCTGTAGTTGTTCAAGAGAGCGTTGACACCTTTCTTGAAGAACAAGACCACCGCACTTCTGCTCCACGCCTCCGGTGTAATGCCACCATGGAGGACGGAATTAAAGACCTTCTGCAGGACTTCAAGTACCGGTCTTCCACCCGCTTTCAGAAGCTCCGCTGTAATTCTATCCTCGCCTGGGGCCTTGCCGTTTTTAAGGTGCTGGAGAGCTATTCTAATCTCGCTCAGACTGACGTCCGGGATGTCTTCGGAATAGTGTCGGATAAGACTCGCTCTTGGATCATTACTCACACTTGCGTGTGGCTCCAACGATGACGTGTACAGCTGCCCATAGAACCTCTCAGTCTCACTCAAAATCTCAGGTGTCCCGGAAACGATGCTGCCACATTCGGTCTTCAGCTTTGACAGTTGGCTCTTTCTGGCACACAGATCTCTGGCAAAGACTTTGGAGCCTTGGTTCCGCTCGATCGCTTCTTCAATACAAGCTGTATTGAAGTTGCGTAAGTCTCGCCGCATGCATTTGGAGATCTGTCTGTTCAGTTGCCTGTATGCTGTCAAATCTGTTGAAGAATGTAGCTTCATCTTCCGTCTAACAGCCATGAGATTAAGAGTGTGATCGGAGAGTTTTTGTGTACTTCTGCGGCGGGTCTTGCAGAACTTAGCTCCGACCGCATGGACAGTTTCCACGAGCTTTTCATTCATATCGTCCACTTCATTGCAGTCTTCTAGGCACTGAAAACGGTTTTGTAACTCGAGCTGAAAGGTATCGGGACTTTGGAACAGAGCAAAAAAAATTAATATAGCTACCCTTTTTTTATTCCTACATTTTCATTCGATTCTGAGCTATGTTCAAAATTTCTAGTCTCTAGCTCCTCGGGAAGTGCCCGAAATTTGAGTTATAAGATTCCACCCGGAACGATAGACAAACAAGAAACTAAGACTAGACTTTATAAAAACGTGGTTGATTGTAAAGTGATGTTTACAGTAATGGCCGTAGTGGCGACGTCAGAGATTTTACTTCTCCCCTCAATTCTTTCCACGGCTGTGCCAAAAATAACTCATGTCTGGCACTGCGATCGCCAATCCGCCAGACAGGCGTTGCAACTATAGCAACCTTCGTTTTGATCGCACAAGCATTACATCAGGCGAGAGGTCCGTATTACATACATCCGAAAAATGTCTACAGTAGGTATATAACAATCTACGTAGTCGTGCTATATGGCCGGCCCATTGCCACTTTAGCTTACTTATGTATTGGGCTATGGCCGTTACTCTGGTTCTACTACGGATATCCTCGTTTCAGTCTATCACTCATAGAAACTCCAAGATTAGTCCTCTCCATACCTCGCTGAGCCACATTGAATCAGTGCCGTCCCTTTGTAAGTTTCTCAAATTCCCATCCATGATGGCCGAGCCAGGCAAACGAACATGTTAATTTAAATATAACAGTAACGAACCAGTTTCATTAAGAGCATATGGCTGGTTATAACTCTGAGATGATGCTGAACACAAAGTCTCCTCCCTGCTTCATCTATCGCAAGCAATAAAAAAATTCCCATAGTTGCCTTTTATGACAGCCACGGTACAAAATGGGGTGATATGACCCCCCACGGTATGATGTTACTTCCGTTTTATCTATTTTTGTCTTCGATACGGATTCTGTTAAGCAAAGTAACTCCAAGCACAGCCATCTCCATAGTGTTATATATATATATATATATATATAATTATCATAAGTTATTTTAATATCAAAGAATACATAAATGAAAAAAACCCTGGGAATGAGGTGATCGCCATCATGCTGGTTCAATCAAAACTCATTTAAAATTTGTACAAACAAAAAAAGAAAATTACTGCAAAGTGAAATATGTTCAAAAAGTCCCGCTAGGTTTCTTGGTCGTTCTTTAAAATTAAAATTATTCTATTCTATTCTAATATCTATGAATTTATTTAAAACTACCCGCATTAATACTAAAATCGAGTCATAATATAAAAGCGCCTACACTTGACACGGTCCCGGCACTTCAATACTTAGATTGGTACTGAAAAGGTTATAATAGTCAAATTACGAGTATGATCTTTCATTATAAAGTTCATATAATCTTCGTCTGCTCGTATGAATTCCTACTGTCGCCCACTCATTAAATTATTTGTGACTGTTACTGGAGAATGTTTTAGAAGTAAATGTTTTATTAAATTCATTACTTATAAGGTATATAATACTCTTTTTTTGTGCTTAAGTGGTAATGAAACCAGTTGTCCACAGTGATCTGAACTTGGTTTTGGAATCATAAATTTCTTGATTGATACAATATCTGTAAAAATATTATCAAATCAAGTTGCACGACACCCTGCACTGAAGTACGTGTAGCTTCAAAGAATAAATTATCAAGATTGTATGATTTTATGAAATGTATATAAATCAACCAGATTAAACGCAAAAGAGCTTAGAATGTCCGACACTCGCGACCCACCCTTAAGCTGTGTCTCGCCAGCAACGCAAAGTCAGGAAGGAGAACGAGACGTCTCCATACATTCTTGGGCCCAAGTGTTAACAAGATGAAAGTAGAACCATTTGAAAGCGTATATATAAACAATTCATAGCTGAAAATCTGGCAAGATTTGTCAATCTAGGAGCTGAGTTATTGTAGAATAAGTAAAAGTGAGATTATCTATTACCTACACTGTAACAGGTGATTTTTCGCTGTTCTTACACTATAACAGGCTATTTTTCACTATAATTACGTAAAAATATAAAGGCAGGATCAGTATAAAATCACCAAAAAAGCTGTGGTTAATAATGAAACGAAATGGTGAAACGATTAACGAAAGTTAAAACAACAACAACTTAGTGAAGTGAGTATTAGGGATATTGATCTGTGATCGATTACTTCAATTATTAAGTGGCGAAGCTTGCGAAGTCATTTATTGATTTCACGATGTCTATCCGTCTGTCCCACGATTATCTCGAGAACGGTTTTGAATTTTCAAATTCTGTTTTCAGCAATCGATTACTGATCACCCAGGCATCTGAACCTCCTATTTTGAAACTGATTGCTCAACGGCAACCGTTAGAAACCGCTACAAAGCTGATTGCTTCGCCACTTTGCTATGCTGTTAGCTTGCTAGGTTTATTGTTGTAACTGTTACTTGTTGAAATATTGATATTTTGTATTTTTTATTATTATTTTGTAGATATGTACGCAATTATTTTTTATCTCCTTAAGGCCCGTCACATACATACGGAATTCCGTTTCGAGATTTCGTCTCGGAATTCCGAACGGGTCGGTCACACACATACGGAATCCCGTTTTCCCGCAAAATTTCGAACGGAAAACTACCGTACGTGTGTGACGGTTATATGAACTTGCTAAGTTCGGAATCTCGAATCGGAATATCGAAACGGAATTCCGTATGTGTCCATAACACAGAAAAATCATCGAAAATAGATATTAAAACGCTCAATTTAGAGAATTTATAGAATTAATAGAATCGGTTATATTGCGCTCGTTTCAAATCGAATCGAAAATCTGTCTTTTTCTTTTAAGTAAATAGTTTGAAGTTTGAACTGTCAAGTCAAGTTTCAAAATGAGAAGATTTCACTAGGTACTGTATTCTTTATGGTAATCGATTTATTGCCATAAAGAATACACTACAATCGTTTTTCTAACTTATTTCTTATTTTATTGCTTTTTCGAATTCTAGATTGTAAAGAGCTACTTTTTTGTATTTTACTTTATAAAATATGATCAATTTATTAAAGTATAAATCAATCAGTTAACTTCAGGCCCAAAAATCCCATTCTCCTTTGCATTTAGAAAAACCCAAAATTAGGGACTTTTTAGGTGCTAATTAGGTGCCAAGTTTAAAAATTAGGTGCTGTAAAATTTTCACCGCAACGAACTGTTAAAATTTGCGTTGCTAGCAAAA